ATTTTATCTGCGATGAGGGCAGGCATGACAGCTCCCAAGACATGGTCACTCATGCGTATAAGGCTGGAAGGCAGAGGCACGGATGTTGTGACTTCAGCAGGGCTGCTGGAGCCCTGCTCCTCCCCAGACCCTGCCCCCCTTCAGCCCTCCCTCCAAGCCTCTGCTCTTCCTAGCCCCACTGCTCCTCCTCCCTCCCAGCATGCTGCTCAAGACTCCTCACGGCAGGAGGGAGGCACTGGGAGAGTGCAGGCAGGAGAAGGAGCTGACCCATGGGCTGCCAGTGGGTGCTGACCACCTATTTTTTTTCCTTGGGTGCCCAGCCCCAGAGCATCCACAGAGTCGGTGTCTGTGCCAGAAGGGACAACTGTGGTCATGCGGTCTGACCTCCAGTGCGACACAGGACATGCGACGGCCCTGAAGTAATTCCTTATTCTCGTCTAAGAGCCTGGAGGAACCAGAGCAGGCAGGAACCGCTTCAAAACAACAAAGAGACTAGTAGCACCTTCGAGACTAACCAGACGTGGAGATGGGATCGAGAGCTTTCTGAAGAAGGGGGCTGCGCCCACAAAGGCTCATGACACCATCTACGTGTTTTGTTAATCTCAAAGGTGCTGCAGGACCATTCATCGGTTTTTAAGTGTTTCCCGTTGCAGACGGCCTCGGCTGAAGCCTCAGAGCAGACAGGTTAGAGGAGCACTTCTAGTTAACGGTTTCTGGAGACGGAGAGTCCACCCCAGACCCAAGGCAGTTCCCACACTGAATAACCCTCACTCAAAGAAATGCTCCTTATTTCTAGGCTGACTTCATCTAGCTGCAGCTTTTAGCTGCAGGATTCTGTCAGACCTCTGCCTGCCAGATTGCAACACCCATTCCCCATGTAGGTAGCTGTAGCCTGGCACCAGCCATCCTTCGACCTTAAGCAGACTGAGTCCCTTGAGTGTCACTGTCAGCAGCCTCCCTCCCCCAACCCTTCAGGCATCTCACGGCTCTTTTCTGAAGCCACACCAGATTCACAGCATCTTTCCTTAGGCGTGGAGACCAGAGCTGGACACACATTCCAACAGCAGCCACGTCAATTCCAAACAGAGGGGTAACAGAACCTCCCTGCTCCATATTCCTGTTTACACAGCCCCGGACTGCTGTGGCCAAAGGGCTGATGCATTGCAGCTGATTGTCCAGCGTGGCCCCCAAGTGCTCAGCGCCCCCGCCTGTGAGTACCGCTGGCAGCCTTTGCTCCTCAGCGCATGCTGGACATTCAGCTGTTTTAGCCTCCAAAGGCCCCGGGGCAAGCCAGGGGGTAGGGATGGAAGTGACTAGTTGACTATCCAATAAGCAAATGCGTATCACCTAGCTGAGCAGCAACTTGCCTAGTTGCTCCCCCCCAGGAACAGGCTTTAAGTTGGTCCCCCCAGCACCATCTCCACGGGGGGCAGGGGAGGCAGAGGCACAGCAGGGAGATAGGCGGGGTAAACAGGGAGGAGGTGTTGCCTATCAGAAATGTCCACACTTGCACTGAGGTGGAGATGGACGTAAGACAGACGCGGTGAGAGTCTCTGGGCTAGGTTAGGAGGGGTAAAAAACACCGGTGAGGTCATGCTAGGGGTCTACTACAAAGCACCTACCCAAGTAGAAGAGGTGGAGGAGGCTTTTTAAAAAACACTCACAAAACCATCCAATACGCAAGATTTGGTGGTGATGGGGGATTTCAACTGTCCAGACATATGTTGGGAAACTAACGCAGCAGGGCACAGACTATTCAATAAGTTCTTGGACTGCATTGGAGACAATTTTTTATTTCAGAAGGTTGAAAGAGCTACTAGTGGGGAAGCTGTTCTAGATTTGATTTTAACAAATAGGGAGGAACTGATTGAGAATTTGAAAGTGGAAAGCAGTTTGGGAGAAAGTGACCATGAAATCGTAGAGTTCACGATTCTAAGGAATGCTAGAAGGGAGAACAGCAAAATAGAGACAATGGTTTTCAGGAAGGCGGATTTTGGTAAGCTCAGAGAGCTGGTAGCTAAGGTCTCATGGGAAGCAAGACTAAGGGGAAAAACTACTGAAGAGCGTTGGAAGTTTTTCAAAGGGACATTATTAAGGGCCCAAAAGCAAATTATTCTGTTGCATACGAAAGATAGAAAGTATGGCAAAAGACCACCTTGGATCAACCAGGAGATCTTGCATGGTCTAAAAATCCAAAAGGAGTCATATAAAAAGTAGAAACTAGGACAAATTACAAAGGATGAATATAAGCAAACAACACAGGAATGCAGGGGCAAGATCAGAAAGGCAAAGGCACAAAACAAGCTCACACTAACTAAAAGGGGGTAACAAGAAGACTTTCTATAAATATATTAGAAGCAAGAGGAAGACCAAAGATAGGGTAGGCCCACTGCTTAGTGAGGAGGGAGAAGCAGTAACAGGAAACTTGGAAATGGCAGAGGTGCTTAATGACTTCTTTGTTTCGGTCTTCACCAAGAAGTCTGATGATGAAAGAATATCTAATATAGTGAATGCTAGTGGGAAGGGGATAGGTTTAGAAGATAAAATAAAAAAAAGGGGGTAGGTTTAGAAGATAAAATAAAAAAAGAACAAGTTAAAAACCACTTAGAAAAGTTATATGTCTGCAAGTCACCAGGGCCTGATGAAACGCATCCTAGAATACTCAAGGAGCTATAGAGGAGGTATCTGAGCCTTTCACTGTCATCTTTGAAGAATCATGGAAGATGGAAGAGATTCAAGAAGTCTGGAAATGGGCAAATCTAGTGCCCATCTATAAAAAGGGAAATAAGACCAACCCAGGAAACTACAGACCAGTCAGTTTAACTTCTGTGCCAGGAAAGATAATGGAGCAAGTAATTAAGGAATTCATCTGCAAACACCTGGAAGATAATAAGGTGATAGGTAGCAGCCAGCATGGATTTGTAAAGAACAAATCATGTCAAACCAATCTGATAGCTTTCTTTGATAGGATAACGAGTCTTGTGGATAAGATAGAAGCGGTGGACATGTCATACCTAGACATAAGTAAGGCATTTGATACGATCGCGCATGATCTTCTTATCAATAAACTAGGCAAATACAACTTAGGTGGGGCTACTATAAGGTGGGTGCATAGCTGGCTGGATAACCATTCTCAGAGAGTAGTTATTAATGGTTCATAATCCTGCTGGAAGGGCATAACAAATGGGATTCCTCAGGGGTCTATTTTGGGACTGTATCTTTTCAATATCTTCATCAACGATTTAGACATTGGCCTAAAGAGTACTCTTATTAAATTTGCAGATGATACAAAGCTGGGAGGGATTGCAAGTGCTCTGGAGGATAGGGTCATAATCCAAAATGAACTGAACAAACTGGAGAAATGGTCTGAGATAAATAGGATTAAGTTTAATAAGGACAAATGCAAAGTGCTCCGCTTAGGAAGGAACAATCATAGAATCATAGAATAATAGGACTGGAAGGGACCTCGAGAGGTCATCGAGTCCAGCCCCCCGCCCTCAAGGCAGGACCAAGCTCCGTCTACACCATCCCTGACAGATGTCTATCTAACCTGTTCTTAAATATCTCCAGAGAGGGAGATTCCACCACCTCCCTTGGCAATTTATTCCAATATTTGACCACCCTGACAGTTAGGAATTTTTTCCTAATGTCCAATCTAAACCTCCCCTGCTGCACTTTAAGCCCATTACTCCTTGTCCTGTCCTCAGTAACCAAGAGGAACAAATTTTCTCCTTCCTCCGTGTGACACCCTTTTAGATATTTGAAAACCGCTATCATGTCCCCCCTTAATTTTCTTTTTTCCAAACTAAACAAGCCCAGTTCATGAAGCCTGGCTTCACACATACAGAAGGGGAAGCAACTGTCTAGGAAGGAGTACGGCAGAAAGGGATCTAGGGGTCAGAGTGGACCTCAAGCTAAATATGAGTCAACAGTGTGACGCTGTTGCAAAGAAGCAAATATGATTCTGGGCAGCATTAACAAGAGTGTTGTGAGCAAGACACTAGAAGTCATTCTTCCACTCTACTCTGTGCTGATTAGGCCCCAATGGGAGTACTGTGTCCAGTTCTGGGCACCACATTTCACAGAAGATGTGGAGAAATTGGAGAAGGTCCAGAGAAGAGCAACAGGAATGATGAAGGTCTAGAGAACATGAGCTATGAAGGAAGACTGAAAGAATTTGGCTTGTTTAATTTCAAAAGGAGACGACTGAAAGGGGACATGACAGCAGTTTTTATGTATTCAACAGGGTGTCAAAAAGGAGGAGTGAGAAAAATTGTTCTCCTTGGCTTCTGGGGACAGGACAAGAAGCAATGGGCTTAAACTGCAGCAAAGGAGGTTTAGGTTGGACATTAGGGAAAACTTCCTTCCTGTCAGGGTGGTCAAACACTGGAATCAATTGCCCAGGGGGGTTGTGGAATCTCCATCACTGGAGATATTTAAGAACAGGTTAGACAGCCATCTGTCAAGGATGGTCTAGATGAGTGTTTCCCAATTTTATTTGGCCACAGAACCCTTTTAAACTCGGAAGAATTTCGAGGAACCCCACACCACCGGGGAGTGGACCGGGGAGACCTGGGGGCCAAAATGCAGTCATGCATGTCCCGAGTGGGCTTTGGAAATGCAGAGGCAGGAGGAAAGCCAAAGAAGGAGCCTGCGTCTTTGTGCGTGGGCTCCTCTCTGTCTCTTGCGGTGGGGGGAGGGGGTGATCGAGTTCTTGCGGAACCCTTACTTTAGAAGGGTTGCGGAACCCCAGGGTTCCACGGAGCACCATTTGGGAAACACTGGTCTAGACGGCGCTTGGTCCTGCCGGGAGGGCAGGGGACCTCTCGAGGTCCCTCCCGGGTCTAGTGCGCTAGGATTCTGTGGCCCTGCCTGTGTACACGTTTGTGGGCGTGCAGGACGGGGAGAGGCCTGCAGTTGGTTCCCCATCCCAGGCTGCCTGTCACACTGTGTCCCTCCCAGATCAGGCTAAAGGGGATGTTACCAAAAGGCAAACCCACCGGAGGTGACATCGTGGCCGATGCCCTGGACAGAAATCACAGCACCTGCAATCCCATTGCCGTTCTGATCGGACACCAGCCCCTTGACGCCCTGATGGACCTGCAGATAGACAGACGGGTTCACGCGCTCCTGCGGCTGAGCCTCTCCCTGCCAGGCCCACTGGAGCAGGAGGACAGACTCCAGCGGCGCCTCCATTTCCCCCCACCCGTAACCAGGCCAGGCCTGGGGGCTGCCGCCTCTGGAGCATCCATGTTCCCAGCCTGTGCAGGTGGCCCCCCTGTCACATCTCTTCCCCTTGCACTGCAAAAGGGAGCTCAGCCCCACAGGGCTTGGCACTAGGGCCTGGCCCTCTCACCTCCTCCAAGTAGGTGACGAGAGCCTCACGATTGGCCAGCCACTCCTTCTCCAGGTCCTTCTGAGGAGGAAACTTGTTGCAGCTCAGCTCCAGGGTGATCTCGAAGCAGTTGGTGTGAAGATAATTGAAGTCCTGCATGCCTGGGAGGAGACAGGGAGAGCTGTGGCCAGGGTCAGAGAAAGGCCGTGCCCCCTTCTCCAGTACAGCCCTCCCCTCCCAAAGACCCTCCCTTCCTTCCCCCCAAGTGTATGGTGGTGTCCTTCCCAGCAGCCCCAGCGCCCTTTCTTTGCCCTTCCTGTATCTGGTCCCTCAGCAGCTCTGCGCCCCGACGTTCGCAAGACGCTCCGCCCAGATGGAAAGACTTGAGGGGACTGAGAAGCCACTGCGCTCCCTCAGGACATCGTCCCACTGGTTAATCACTCACTGTACAGCATTGGCCCCTCAGGACTAGCCAGCATTTATCTAGCTTCAGCGTTGCAGAATCCTAGAACCCCAGGGCTGGCACAGACCACAGGAGTCATCGAGTCCAGCCCCCTGCCCAAGGCAGGACCAATCTCAGCATCCAACCTGTGAGCTTTGTTCAGCCTTTTTCTGCTTGATTAAAGAGTTTTCTCCTGTTAGAAACTGTTCTCCCCCCTGCAGGGACTAGTAAACCATGAACAAATAACCTCTGAACTGTCTGTTCAATAAACTAAATGTATCAAATGTGTCAGTCGCTCTCTCTCGAAGGTAGGTTTGCCAAATCTCAGAGCATCAGTGGAGCCCTTTCCGGAGCCTTTTCCAACTTTCCATATCCCTTTTGAATTTCGGCCAGTAGCCGCGGATATAGGACCCTGGCGGGAGCTCACGGTGCTGTATACGACAGTAATCCTGCCTGCCTGCTTCTGCTGAGTATTCAGACATTCACAAATGGCATTGGCTCCCTTAGCTGCCACATTGCACTGGGAGAACAGTTTGTGTCTACACGACACCAAAGTCTTTTTAAGATCCACTGCTTTCTAAAACACAGTCCCTCTCCTGTGACAAAAAACAGGGCTATGGAGCACTTTAAGGACTAACAAGATGGTTTAATAGGTGATGAGCTTTCGTGGGCCAGACCCACTTCCTCAGATCAAATAGTGGAAGAAAATTGTCACAACCATATATACCAAAGGATACAATTAAAAAAATGAACACATATGAAAAGGACAAATCACATTTCAGAACAAAAGGGGGACGGGGGAGGGGGGGAAGGTAAATGTCTGTGAGCTAATGATATTAGAGGTGATAATTGGGGAAGCTATCTTTGTAATGGGTAAGATAATTAATGTCTTTGTTTAAACTTAGGTGTAAAGTGCTTATATATATATATATATAAATTGTATCCTTTGGTATATATGGTTGTGACTATTTTCTTCCACTATTCGATCAGAGGAAGTGGGTCTGGCCCACGAAAGCTCATCATCTAATAAACCATCTTGTTAGTCTTTAAAGTGCCACATAGTCCTGCATTTTGTTTCAGCTACACCAGACTAACACGGTTACATTTATATCCCTCTCCTGTGAGTGTGAGCTGCAGTCTTGGTCAATGTATGTAGGACCTTGTATTTAGTTATTTTAAAACATGCGACTCAAGTGAGCCTAGACTGCTAAGTGACCCAGACCACTGTATCAGTGGCCTCTCATCATCATTATTTAATGCCCACTAATTTTGGAGTCATTTGCAAACTTCACCATCCATGATTTTACATTTTTTCCAAATTGTTGATAAAGATATTGAATAGCATTGAGTCAAAAAGAGAACCTGGAAAAAGCTGCAAAAAATAAACACTGTCGTGGCATGATGAATCCCCATTTACGATTAATTTTTTAGATTAATTGATTAGCCAGTTTAATCCACTTACTATAAATTGGATTCATTTTGTATAGTGCTATTTCATCAACACGTCAGGGGTGTACCATGTCAAATGCCCTACAAATACATATTGTATCAGCACAATTAGCTTTGTCAACTCAATATCAGGTTTGTCAGACTATCCTTCCATAAAACCACACAAGTCAGCTTTATTTTTCTACCGTCCTTACTTCTTCACTGACTGCGTCTCGTAACAGCCTTTCCAAGATTCTGCCTGGAATCATTGTCAAGACAACTGGCCTACCGTCATCTCTAGACCATCCTGTTCTCCCTTTTATAATATGGGCACAACACTAGCGTTGTTTTGGTTCCCTAGGTCTTTCCCAGTGTTCCTAGATATGTGAAATGTCAGTGTTACTGGCTCAGAGAGCTCTTGGACAATTCTTTTAAAAGTCTGGTTCACAAGATCAGAATATTTTGAATTTTAGCTGTTGCTGTTTAACACCCTCCCGCATGGCTCAGAATAAACTAGTTCATCCAGTTTCTTGCCAAGTACTGAACATCCCCAGTTAGCAGTGGATCTAGCCCATTGCTAGGATTTCTTCTGCTCCTAATGTCTTTTTTTAAAACCCTTAATCCAAGTGGACACAAAGGTGCACAAGAAAACTCTAACTTCCCTTGTCAATTGTCCGCACACGGCTGGCTGTCACCATTTCCCATTTTTATAGATTTTCTTAAAAAATTGTATCGCTCCTTTTACGTCTCATCACTTGCGCATCGCCACCCCTCCCGGCTTCATACTCAAGTTTCACAGAAACAAGTGCTCCTGACCAATCCCTCGGAATCTGGGTACTCAAAAGCCACTGAGAGTGCAAGCCCACAGCCTTTAACTCAACAGTGTCATCAGCCTTTACCCTGTTCCCTCCCCATGGCCATCACCTTGCTGCACTCCCTTCCTCAAGCCACAGCCTCCCTACTGCCACCCCAGCGACTGCCCTCTTTCCCGGCCCCCCACCCTGCTCATCCCTTCCCCACTACTCCCTCTGCAGGCCAGGCCTCTCCTGTTCCCTACGGACCTTTCTGCAACACCCAGTGCCCCTCGCCCTGCCCTTACCCTTGCTGAGAGAATACCAGGAGGCCCCGTTGGTGATGCCGTCGGCAAACTGCTCCCCACACGTTGGGCTCTGGTGCATCGAGTGGTGGGCGTAGGAATAGGCTTTGGCCAGCTGCAAGAGAACATCAGGCTGGTCACAGTGCTGGCTTCGCCCCCTGGCCCATGTCCCTCCACCCGTCTGCTCCCATTTATGCTAAGGACAAGCAGGTGTCCCTGCAAGGAAGCCAAACCCATGGGAGAGAGCAGGCCCAGCACAACCACACCACTTCTTCCACCCCCCTCAATGGAACCTATACCCCAGCCCTGTCCATAGGAGCTTGGGAACTGGCCCCCAGCCCGGGCCCCTTGGGAACCTGCTCCCCAAGCCCTGCCCCCAGCAAGGAAACCTGCCCCCAAGCCTGACCCCTTGGACATAGGAACCTCTTCCCCAAGCCCTGCCCCCAGCAAGGAAACCTGCCCCCAAGCCTGACCCCTTGGACATAGGAACCTCTTCCCCAAGCCCTGCCCCCAGCAAGGAAACCTGCCCCCAGCTACAGTTGCCAGGTGTCCAGTTTTCAACCAGAACATCTGATCTAAAAGGTGGCTCCAGGAGCACTGACCAGGCCATTAAAGTCCAATTGGCACAGGGCTGGCAGGCTCCCTGGCTGGCTCTGCATGGCTCCTGGGAAGCGGTGGCATGTCTCTCTGGCTCCTAGGTGAGGGGACTGCCACTGGGGCGTTTCATGCTGTCCTGACCCCATCCCAAGCAGCAGCTCTGCAGCTCCCATTGGCTGGTGACTGTGACCAATGGGATCTGCAGGGGCCGTGCCTATGGGTGGCAGTGGTGCATGGAGCCACCTGGCTGCCTTTCCTCCTAGGAGCTGGAGGGACATGCCACCACTTCCTGGGCACGACCTGAGGCATGCCCTCCAGAACCCATACCCCAAACTCCCTCTTGCACCCGGAGAGATGGGGGGAGGGCAAAGCACTGAAGAAGTGGCAAGGAAGAGGGGGCAAGGATGTTCAGTTTTCTGTGATTAGACATTTGGCAGCTCTGCCCCAGAAGCTCGGGAACCTGCCGACAAAGCGGGTGGAGAATTAGAGCTGGGGGATGGGTGGGGCCGGTCCCCTGTCCCCGTCTGGGTTTGCTGCTCAATGGGAACCCTGGCTGGGGAGGTGGGGGAAGGGTTCTGTGGCAATATAAATTCAGCCGGACTTGCAATGGAGAATCCAGGACAAAACCTGCCCATTGCCTTTTCTGATTGGTGCCCTGGCTTTGGCTCTCGTTCCCACAGCAACAAGATCCACCTCTCTGGAAAACAACCAATGTAGGCTGCAGTCAGCCAGTCCTTGGGATCAGGCAGCAGGTCAGCCCGGGCTCTCGAACACGAGCCGTGGGAGCAGAGAGGAGACCGGCTGGTACC